TTTGAGGCCACGGCTCATTGATCCAACCTGGTGGTCACCTCAGGGAAAGATGGTGAGAATACAAAAAAGGTTCAATTGCCAAGATGTTTGTTTAAATCTGCCCTCTTTTCCCCCCACTTTACTCTCAACAGGGTGGAACAAAATCACACCGATGTTGTTAAATCAAGTTACTCTGACTCTCCTCATCCTAAGGTAAGCATATGCCCCACATCGCTACACATCCAACTTAACTGTATAGCATAGAGAATCACAGAATGATAGGGGGTTGGAAGGGACCTCTGGAGATCATCTAGTCCAACCCCCTGCCAGAGCAGAGCCACCCAGAGCAGGTTGCACAGGAACATGTCCAGGTGGGTTTTGAACCTCTCCAGAGAAGGAGACTCCACCACCTCTCTGGGCAGCCTCTTCTGGGGCTCTGCCACCCTCAAAGGAAAGAAGTTCCTCCTCATGTTTAGATGGAACTTCTTATGGACAAGTTTGTGCCCGTCCCCTCTTGTCTTGTCCCTGGGCACCACTGGAAAAAGACTGGCCCCATCCTCCTGACACCCACCCTTGAAGTATTTATAGATGTTGATCAGATCCCCCCTCAGCCTTCTCTTCTCCAGACTAAAAAGACCCAAGTCCCTCAGCCTTTCCACATCAGAGAGATGCTCCAGGCCCCTCATCATCTTTGTAGCCCTCTGCTGTACCCTCTCCAGCAGTTCCCTATCCATCCATCCATGCTTCGGTAGTAAAGGCATTGGTGTAAACATTATTACAAAGTTGATTTGGCAGCAGGGGTATACCGCACGTGGATAGAGCACGTGGATATTGGCACAGCTCAGGTGTGACTTGCAGAATGATCATGTTTTACACGTGAAACTACAAAGTCCCGTTTCAGTCATGAGAACTTATATATTACAGACAGTAGAGAGCACAGTAGTTGCCAGACACTTCTACACTCAGATGCTGAACAAAAACACAGCAAAAAGAAATTGTCGTTCCAGGCTGGGAATTCGGTTGGTCTGAGATCTTCTACTCCATTGCAGTCCTGAGTCAGTGACCAAGAGACACTATGTCAGGAGACCTGCTGACCCAACTATCTGCTTAAACAGGACTCAAAAACACTGGATGGGATTGGAGTTTTGTGTGATATTGGACTATTGTTTTGCTAACTAGTTACAGCTGTTTGTATTCCAACAGTTGGGGAGGAACAGTATTTAAAAGCTGCCTATTGTAGCCACAGAAAGGAAAAGCAATGCTTTGTTCTATTGCCTGAAATCCCAGCTTTTTTTATAAAACACAATATAGTTCCTTAAGTAAAGTAAAAACAACAAAAAAATACCCCACCCCCAAACAGACTGTGAAAGCCCCTGCAGGGACGGGTAGAGGGTGGGGAAGGAGAAAGAGCACTTTTACTGCAGAGTCCCATTTCCTTGCCTCTCCCGAGGGTGATACCCTGACCTAAGCAGAGGCGCTCTATATTGCACACCAGCATCTGCAGGAGGAATCAGGCCCTCTTACTTCATTACCTGGTGGCTCCAGAAACGACCAGGAGAAACAACACAAATGCTTTGGGAAGCAGTAAGCCCGGTCTTGGCTCGCTAGTTGTAAACCTGAAAACTGCCAAGAGACACGCACGCACACAAATATGTTGGCTGCAGAGCACTGCTGGCTAACCCTGCCTTTAAAAATGAGTTTGAATAAACAAAAATCAGAAGAGAAAAGCAAAGCCATACAAGAAAACGAAGTGTCCCACTTCCGTACAATATTTGCATGAAGTTCATCATTTCAGTACCTGTGGCCACCAACTCAGAGCCATTATCACCCAAGGGAGTGACTCAGAGACCAGTCTATTGCCACACACACCCATATTTAACAATTTTCATGTGCTCTTTGCTCAGTACCCTCTGCTTCACAGCAAAAGAAAACATCTTTAAGCTCTTCCTTCCCCTGAAGTGTTTACAAACTGAATGCTGGGAAGAAAAACTCTGGGAAGACTCAATGGGATAAGAGTGATGTAACGTGTGCTGCTGCAGCAGAAGTACCAAACACACATGTTAAGGCTGCGAAGCCACGTGGTTTTCATTTGGGATGTGTGGGGTGAACACATAACGCTGGCTTCCTTCATAACCTAAGCACAACAAAGGAAGCCTTTGTTTGAAAGCCAAGGGGCAGCCTCTCTGCACACTCAAAGGCTGAGCTACAACGTAATGGGAACTGTGAGTCACGGCTGTGGGGCCCCCGCTCATCGGCACAAAAATCCCCTCCGCGGCAGCGGGCAAGGAGCTGAGCTTGGCAAGGAGCAAACAGGGCTTCCAGCCCCGCATGGGAGACTGACAGTGTCCAGGACCAGCAGCAAATACAAGGCTGAGCTGAGAGCACATGCTGTGGATGACTTAGGACGCAAACACGTCCCTTTTCAGTCGACATTTCTTCCTGTAACTCCTTCAGAGCTTGAGATCATAACCCCGCGCTCGTTCCAAGAGCGTGAAGCAGCTATGGCTCAGCAAGGAGGAGGGATGGACATCAGCCAACCACCTTCAGACCGTCTTTTGACTTTGGCTGCAGAAGAAAGTGGCCATGATACTTAGACTGAGTGTAGCCAGCTTGCTAGGTAGGACCACAGTACAGCTCTATGTCCTTAAGTCATCTAGTGTGCCAGATAATTTATATCACTGTGTGTTACAGCAGGGGAGGGTCAGCTGATGGACTCCAACTACCAAAATATAGACATCCATCTCATCCTAGCCTGGGAGAAAACGATAAGGGTCTTCAGTTATCATGAACGGAGTGCAATCTGCAGTGCTGCAGAAAATCCAAGTGTTTTCTCTCACATTTTCAACAGTCCCAAGGTATTTGGTTGCTAAATCTCCAGAGGCCTTTAGAAATCAAACTCTCATCTGAAACCAGTGGCAGTCGGGTACCTGAACATCCCGGAGGAAAGAGCTTAGGATCTAACCTTTTTGGGTGCAGATGCCCACACAAGCACAAGATCCTCTGGGAAGTACGATGCTGTGAACATCAAGTGTCACAGTTAAAGTTTGAGAACGTCTCCTTAGCTCCACCTCTGGTATGTATTAATATTCTACAAAAGCTTAAATAATAGGGGGGAAAAAAGAGGTCTGAAAAAGCAATACAGTCTCCCCTCTCTGCCTACACACATGACCTACACTGCGCCTGGATGGTTTCTGGCAAGTCTTTGTCTACTTTGTTCTGAAAAGCTTCCAGCAAATCTCCCTCTCTGCCTCTCAAGGCAGTCTAGACTACTGCTAAACTACCTCTACCTGTAGGAAAGTCTCCTTATCACTGCATGTGCTTTCTCCAAAGTAAGCTGTAAGCCCTGCTGGGATTCTGGCACATGCAGGCAGTATCTTGTCTTAGGGAGCTACTTCCCTCCCTATGGGCAGCGTGGGAACCGTTTGCTCCCACTCCTCATCAGGTGCTCCCTGAGCATCACCAAATCCTCTGCAATTTGGAAGAACTGAGAGCAAGGCACTCTGAACCTGATTTTCATTTGAGTTTGGCCACAAACTCTGTCTTTCCAATTGACGGCGCCCACCATCCCTTGAGGCAACCCAGAAAAAGATGTGGTTGGTTACACCGGTGGCTCAGCTGACACCTTAGAGCTAATGTCACTTTTCTGCTCAGGCACATGAACCTTCTCTACGTGTTCTTCCCCCTGGTTTTGAAAGTGAAGGAACAGTACGTTTTCCTTTGCCAGGCAACTGAAATATCCATATGAATCAGAGACTGTGCCTAACAGGGCTTAAATCCTGCAACAGTTGGCCCCAATGGTCCTCATCCTTGCCAACACCATGCTTGGTTTTTCCAAGCCACATGCATGGCAGTGGGGTGTATCAGATGTTTTCCCTGTAAATGCTGAAAAAGCATCTCTGCCTCAAGGCAAACATCACTGATATAAATAACATGCTGGATCAGCCAGAAAAACCTGCCCCTGGAAGAGGGATAGTCATGAAAGACGGTGGGGGGAAAAGGAAAAAGAGCTTCATTTACACACAGGAGGATGGAAACGGGCCAGTTCTCACAGCTTTGATGGGGGCTGGCTGGAGGAACATGCCAGGGAACGCTGTGAGCTTCGCTTCGCTAGAGCAGAGCAGCCGTCTGAACCGCCTGGGATGGGAAGAAGGGGACAGACACCACCCAACACAGACGCAGATCCAGAATAAATAAGAAAAAGGAAAAAAAAAAAATCACGTGGAGCACATGAAGTAACAGGTACTCAGAGCTGTAGCAGGACATCGTGGCAGCCAGGACTGCTGCTCTGGCGGCTCCCTCTGCCACGAGCTCCAGTTCTTCCCTTCCCACCACTGCTACCCGCAGAGCCTGCTGTCACACACCCGCAGAGTGGCACTGCCAGACGGCTGGGTTTCACCCAGCAGTTCTGCTTCCAGTGGGTTTTTCAGGGGGTTTTGGACAGACATTAAAACTCTGCACATTGCTGGCTTATAAAAAACACTATTTTCCCTTCAATCCCGCTGCCTCTGCTGTCACCCCTGATCATCAGGAGGTTGTCCAGGCACTTCCAGGCCTTGGCTCTCCCTCCAGGCCTTGGACTTCCCCCCTGAAAGAGGGGGGATCCAGTGCTTTCCCGATCTAGGTAAGGTACCTCCGGCAAGTTCTCCTGCATAGCAGCAAACGCTGTCAGCAAAGCTCAGGCCTCTTGGTTCCCCCTTCTGCCATCACCCTAGAGCCCAACTGTCCCAAGCAGTCAGATAAAACCAATTTTATACTGAATGCCAAAAGAGAGAGGCTTTTTTTAACACTGATCTTTTAAAGTGAAGTAATTTCCAAATTAAACCTTCACAATTGCTGCTACTTTTGCTTCGCAAGTGCTGTCTGACCCTCGCTGCTGGGAACATCTACTAAAGTATAAGCCACGCCAGTTTCCTCCTGGCATTTCTGCTGTAAGGCTCAAGATCTCCTAGCGAGAGCCCATCAAAAAAGCTTTTTCAAATCACATCAAATCTGGAAGGAAGAACGACCCCCAGAGCACTTACCTGCTACGTGACTTTGCAGGTGCTCATTAAACTTCACATTACTACTATCACCACGATGCATAGAAGACTCTCTTCAGTCACCCACCGCTGAAGCACAGCCAGGAAGTCTGCAAAACAGAAAGAAAATGAATGAGGAAGTTCGGGCAGAAGATAGGTACATAATGCAGTTATCTAAATCAGGGATTGATTAAAAGAGAGACTAACTCACCCCCTTACCTAATAAAATGATCATAAAAGCTCAAGAGACTATAAATAATCAGCTTTGAAGTGATCAGGGATGAGCTCAAATGCTGCTTCTCCTGTGGGAAAGCGTGCAAATCCCACGGCAGGTTGGCCAGTGCTGCAGACATACCGGCAAGCGAGGACTTCCCTCCTCCGACTCCATCCTCACCCCCCAGCCCTCTCCTTTTAAAATGGATTAGGGTCAAATTAGCATCTGTGTAAACGCAAGGGCTGGGACAGTTTTGTCTGGGATTGGTTTGTCTCAGAAAAGGCATTTAGCTGCTGTAAGCCGCTTGCGAGGTAGAAAGACTTGCTTGGGGAGCTGGGTTTAAGTGAGTTAATGTGAGAAACAGAAAATGCAGGAGAAGAGGCAGGAAATAAGTCTAAGAGCATACAGGAAGATGTGAAACACAGAACCGCAAAAGATAAACTACCATATTTTAGGAGTGAGAAGTTAAGAAATTTTAGATGAAACAGGAAACAAAGCAAAATCCTCCAACCAGAGGGAGGAGAGGCCGGGCCTGACAAGCTGGTTGCAGGCAGAGGAGGGAGATGTTACCCAGCTGTGCACAAGTGGGCTGGGGAACAGGAATCCACTGCCCTCCTTACCAGCCATGATCACCTCTTCAAACCGTCCAACCATCTTGATCTAAAGCCTGAAGAAATCAGGGACAGCATGGGCTGAGCTGGGCTTCGGAGCTGGGTCCTTTCAGGGCTCGGGATTAGGTTGATGAGGCCTTGCTCTCCTGAACCCCTTCACTTTGGCCTCCGCTGGGGAGGGGATGGCTCAGCCCTCCCTCCTCCCACGTACCTGCTCTGACCAGACTCTGTGTACGGTTTCACTTCTCTGTTTCCATCTTCAACTGTGAGACCAAATTGGGCAAAAGTGCTTCTGCTCTGACCTCCCAGCGCCTCGCAGCCTGCAGGGCTGCTTCTGCTCCACCAGCACCACGGCACTACCAAGCAGCAGCACAGACTGCCAAGCACAGGAGCAAGACACCCCAATCCCAAAAGGGCTGGATCAGCACCATAATATCCCACTGGATGTCTGTTAGCCCTCAGGGTTTGCAGTGCCTGCTCTCATGGTGGCTCTGGGCCAGTTAGCAGTCCAGCAGGCGCTTCTGCTCGGAGGAAAGGAGCTATGAAGTGCTGTGTAGAAACTGCTGCTATGGGACTTACACTCTCTCACTTGTTAAAATAATTTTTAGATCTCAAAAGTGAGCGTTTAAGTCAGGGTCTCCCTCTACTACATGTGTATAGATGTTGGTGGGACCTTCACTGAACCTTAGGGGATGGCCTAAGGTCACTACAAGAAGGTCCCTCTCAGCTGTGGGTGCATCAGCGCTGAATCCTCACACAAACCTCCTCTGCTCCCTCAGAGGCAGCCCGAGCAACACACCCCAGTGTTTATTGTGGGTCAGGCCTGGAAAAGAACCTCTTCTCCATGCCAGAAATCAAACCTGCCCCTGCTCCAGTGAAGCTCAGCAACCTTCAGGTCATGGCAGTAAAACCTCTTTGCTTTGCTGAACCGCTGGTCAAGGTTGGCTCAGCCAAGTTCTCACGGCCCACGTGTGCATGGAAATCAAAACAAGCTAAAAAGAGCCCTGTGGCAGCTGCACCCCTGGGCCAGCTCTCTGTCCCTTGAGCTGCTCGAAGCTTGGCTGCCTGCCTCCCTGCCTATTGCCCACGCTGAGGGGTGAATGGGCAGAAGGTTTTGCTTACACAGCTGAGCCCACATCCCTGCAAAACCTGGAATTCATGGTCGGACACACGGCGATGCCACCCAGCACACACCCTGGCCATGTTCCCTCCCTCCAGCCCAAAACCAGAGTCTCTACCTCTCTCCACCGCCCAGCAATTACATGTGCTGATGGAAAGTATGCTGCCTGGCAGCAAACCTGCTTTTTCCCAATGTAAATGGATTATAATAACACTTGGGAGAGAAAGAGCTGGCCCACCCAACAGCCTATTTTAAAGGGGATCTGAGGGAACAAGCCAGGATTATTTTTTTTCCAGCTCCCTTCTCCATTGCACTATTGCTATGGATTGCAGTTGGAGGACAGGACAGCACAGGACAGCAGGGAGACTCGGGAAGAATGTTCATGGAGTTCACGGAGTTTATCAGTGCTTCTCAGAACAACTGCTTCTTAATGTTCACCTTGTTGGCGGAGGCTGAATCTAGGTTAAATTTTGCCACGACAGTTGTTTTAGGGGGGACATGGCAGGAGAAAGCAATACAACCAGAAAAATAAGCCACCCCATTTGCTGTGTACCCATTGCACTCAGGGAATGGATTTAAGCTATCAACAAATAATAAAACAACAAAAAAAAAAGGATGCCACAATACAATCCACTAAGTGCATTTCCTGATATGGCACTATCTGCATTAATTTATTCACAGGCAAGCTCCAAGATACCAAAACAACAGTCAACAGGTAGACAGTCGCAAAAGCCAGCCTAAAATTGTCCTTATGGAAACCACACAGTTTTTGCTTTAAAAAACAAACTCATAAATCACTTAGATCAGCTCATGGAACACCAGTGTTAGGTTTCTGCGGGTCAGATTCCTTCCCCCTGTTACTCATTGCCACGTAAGGCGGATCACAAGCACTGGCATCCCTCTGAGACCATCGCACACAGGAGCCCTTATTGCCATGGAGAGAACCAACAAAAAACAAAAGGGGAGCTGCTTTGGTGGCCGTAGTGACCAGACGGCCCGAAACAATCACTCAGGAAAAGCAAAGTCCCCCAGCTCCTGGCCAGGCCACTTAGTCTGACTTGTAGGGTGGGGAAGAAAAAAAAAGAGGCTGTTCTTAATATACTGTAATGCTCCAAGCAACAGAAAGAGGAAGACAGTTAGGTGGGGAGGGGCCATAGCCTGAGCTCTAGATAAACAGGTACAACGCCTTCGGGGTGCACGGGATGCCACTGGTGCAAACACAGAGCACTCTGTTCCGTACACTCAAGGGATGCAAAAAACCAAGTGTCATCTGTCAGCTGGGAACCCAGCAGCCCTCGGGGCTGATCCTGGTACAGACATTGGCTCTCTGACCTTCGGCAAATCAATTCACCTCTCTCCACATCCGTGGCAATCACACCTAATATGTGCATTCCCCACGTGGGAGCAGTATGAAGCATCTATTAATGCTGAAAATAAGATTGAAAAGAAGGCTTTAAGTTTTCATTCCTAATTTCTGTGCTCTGCTTTCCTTCAAGGACTGAAGGAACCGCTTTCACTTATATTATGGAAAACTGGGACCACTGGGTTTTAAAAGCCAACGTCTATGGACGTACACAGAATCACTTTAGTCAGAGCTGCAGAAAGGCATCGTCATCCTCACCAAACCCAAAAGCCTCATAAAACAAACCATGCTAGACTACAGCTGCTCTCCCCTCCAACTGGCAGCTCAGGTCCTTGCCCAGCAGCCCACGCCAAACACTCATGCCTGAAGGAGAGGTGCTAGGTATGGTTTAGGCCTATTGCACTCATTAAAAACATGTTAATAGTAACATTTGCTTAGAGACACTGCTGGGGCTCATCTTGCCTGACCACATAACACATACCCAATATGTCCTGTTCTCCTGAAGGATTTTAATAGGGCATTTCCCCAGAGAACTGCTTCAGTGGGAGATTGCTCCAAGCTGAAGAAGCAAAGGCCACTAAAGCTCTGGTTCTGAGTATCAGTTTTACAGCCTGTGAATTCCAATGTCCCTGACTCGCTCTGATTTGAGCTACAATTACCTACTGGCCATCTTCAAAAAGATGCACACATGAATGTCAGCTCTACTAAAAACATCACTCCTTCTCTCTGTACTGATTAGAGAATCACAGAATGATATGGGGTTGGAAAGGACCTCTGGAGATCATCCAGTCCAATCTCCTGCCAAAGCAGGTCCACCCAGAGCAGGTCGTCCCACAGGAATGTGTCCAGGTGGGTGTGGAATGTCTCCAGAGGAGGAGACTCCACCACCTCCCTGGGCAGCCTCTTCCAGGGCTCTGCCACCCTCACAGGAAAGAAGTTCCTCCTCATGTTTAGATGGAACTTCTTATGGACAAGTTTGTGCCCATCCCCTCTTGTCCTGTCCCTGGGCACCACTGAAAAAGACTGGCCCCATCCTCCTGACACCCACCCTTTAAGTATTTATAGGTGTTGATCAGATCCCCCCTCAGCCTTCTCGTCTCCAGACTAAAGAGACCCAAGTCCCTCAGCCTTTCCTCCTCAGAGAGATGCACTGTACCCCAGAAGAAAGGCCAAAAAAGTATTGTAAGAAGCTGAGCCCAAACCATGCAATACCGAGCACGCAGCAAAGCCCAGTGATGTGTTTCGGACTGTCCACACCTGTGGCCACCACCGGCCTAAGGACCCCCCGGGCTGTCAGCACCGGCAAAAGGAGGTGGCCGCGGGGTCTCTATCTGGGGTGACCCCATCCCTCAGAGAGTCCCCATGTGCTCCATGAGCTGACGGAGCCCCAGCAAGCGGGCTGCCTTCTCCTGCCGGGAGAGGACAGCCCAAAGACGTGCAGGAACTTCGGCTGGGCGCAGCGACCTGCCTCAGGAGCCTGATCTGACCCGGCCCCCCAAGGGCCACCGAGACAAACCACGGAGAAAGCACAAAGTTACCGAGGGGAAGCCCCCCCAAGCCGACCTGTTGCTGGGCAGACCCCGGCACCCGCCGCTTCGCTCCGCTCCTCTCCTCTCCCAACCAAAGCCCTTCCCACGGCGGCAGCTTCCCGCCGGGAAGCGGGAGAAATCCCACCCCCCTTTCCTCCCCCTCCCCGACCCCCCGGGTGTGCTCGGGGTCCCCGCAACCCGGGACGGGACTCACCGGCGGGACCGGCGGGGGGGGGGGGGGGGGGGGGGGGCGCCCGGAACGGGTTTCCTTTACTCTTTGGCTTCGGTTTTTTTTTTTTCTCTCTCTTTGTTTTGTTGCTTCTCTCCTCCTTCACACCACCCCCGCCAGCCCTAGGAGCCGAGCCACCCTCCGGCGGGCTGCCGTTCCCCGGCCCAGCTCCGTCCCGGCTCCTCCATCAGCTTCCCCGACGGGTCTGTGCCGAGGGCACACGGGGGCCGGGGAGGAAATGCGCTCATTTCGCTTCTCGGATGTATTCTGACCTCCTGGTGGTCGTGCCCGAGAGTCAGGAAAGCGGCTGAAACGCGTTAACTTCTCTTGTGGTTCTTACGAAAGCAAAAGAGCAGATCCCGGGGAGGTTAAACCATTTTCCTGCTCGGAGCTGGCACAAGCAGGGACTTGTGGATCTGCCCGCCATCCCTTGGAGTTTCCCTGTGGGGCTGAGGGAGCTGAGGCACAGCAGGGTTAACCAAACCGATGGTAAAGGCCGCTGGAAGGGATTTAAAAAGTGTTTTCCAACGCTGCCCTCATTCTACAGCTAAAGGGCATCTTCTTACAGATCTGCCAGAGAAATAAGTTTGCTCAACGACTGTCATTTCCACAAAGAAGCTTAAAGGCAAGAGCAGAGTTACATCTATCCCATTTTGGTGAACTATAGCTCTCTCTGTTGCACCTTTCCTCTTTCCACAAAATTGCAACAACTGTCTTACATTACCACTGGGAGTGCATGTTGCATGTTCTCCACTTCAATTTTATTTTTTTTAAGCTCAGGTGGTCGCCATGTGTGACAATCTGCGCATTGTGTCACTCTAAGACTTTGCAATATCAAGAGGGCACCAGGCAAATATGGTGGCACAGGTTGGCCTGGAAGCTGGCTGGCTTGTGAGGGATAACCAGGGCTGCTAAGTCAGCCTGTTCTTTGAACTTCCTGAGATGCTCCATGAATTAAGTAATAGTTTTAATCTTATTCCAAGGATTTGTGTTCCCAAATGCGCGTTATATGGGTATTATTTCCTTAGTGTCTGAATCAAGTTTATTCAGGTTTATTGGCAACCTGGGTGCTGTTAGTACATTTTCCCTTCTCATTATGCCATAATCTATGAAAATCATCTCTAGCAAGAGCAGTGCTGGAATCTCCTCGCTTCTGTGCTGCAGGACTCGGCCTGTCTTGGTGCATTATTTACTTCCCCTGGGAACCTCACAGCAGCAGCAGGAGAGAGAGAAAACAGCATCTTCTCCAAGATCCAAGGTATTCATCACCTCAGCCAAAGGAAAATGTCTATTAAATATCCCCTGCATAAAGCCTGGCAAGGTAGTAATTATTAATTCTGATGATATATACACACACACATTGGACAATACAAATCACTAGAGGTTACAGTGACTATAATTTACATTCATATGCAAATTTTCCCTGGGACACAGGGAAAAGGCCTGAACATTTTTCAAAGGAAGGCTCACATCCCAGCAGATTATATTACATATCCACCATCCCATTCAGGATCTACTTTCTGTGCCACCTAAGATGGTATAAAATTATGATAACAATATGATACATGTAAATGGAAAAGTCAAAGCAAGACACATTCATTTGATTTGTATTAGGGTTTTTTTTATGCAGTTCAGCAGTTTGAAAGAGGAGGGAAAGCTAGAAGCACATATCCTGACAACTTCAGCAGGGTTCATTGTTTGAGTATCACTGCTCTGCAGAAGGCTTAAGATCATTATCTTGCTAAAGGTAGTAATTTATTTGATAATGAGCCAAGCTCCGCTAACCTTACTCAGATGATGGGCAGGACCTGAAGCTGTGAGCCGTGGAGTAACAATGCCACAGCTCCCTGGATGCTGGGACATAACCGGTAGCTCTGTGACACGGCTGCTATTGCAGCAGAAATTAGATAGAATGATAATATTTCTAAAACGGACTCTAAGATCCCATTAGCAGGAGCAGGACCAGAGCAAGATGTGGGCTGAGAGTTAAATTCCAGGTATCTTAGCTGCTTTCAGACATGTTAGAAGATCAAGGGATTATTATTTTATTCTTTCCACTAGTATTTCTAATCCATTACAAAACTAGCAATATTTCCTTAAACTATTACAAGCAGGCAATAAAAAAAATATCATCTTGCAACATCTACAAAAAGAGAACAGGGATATGCCAGAGAGGCCATGGGTAGGCAGCAGGGAAGCAGGTTTTGGTACAGCTTCCTGCTGTCACCTTCACAAGGAACCCAGGAGATGGCTGCCAGCCTGGAGCACACAGAGGGACCACACTAACACAGAGAAAGCAGAAATTATAGTCTTGCTGGAGTCAGGTCTTGCTGGGGCCCTGCTTTTTATACTGCAAGTGGCTGTGTAAGCCTAAAGGAGGCTGCAGCAGGTCGGTATGTTAATAGGCACAGCTCAGCGTGACCCAGCAGAGCAGGAGCTCAAACAGACCAAGGGGAGAAGGGAGTGGGGGGCTGGTGTCCTCATCTACCCCCTTACACCTGGCCTTATAAACATCTTAAATCTCTGCGATTTCTATAGCCTTCCCTGGGTATTAAGCATTTTTTTTTTTAATAGCTTCTTCCTCCCAGAGGACTCAAGTGTCAAGTAGTGAAAGATGCCAGACAAATTTTCAGCTAGGGAAAGATTTGGTGGTTAAGAATTAAAAGGCTGAGGAATAAAATATGAGGGGAACAGGAATCAGAGATTCCTGGAACTGAAAGGCTGTTGGAAAGCACAGGGGCAAGTTGTTTCTGCTAAAGAACACATGATGGCTCTAGACATAGTTGAAACTCATTTTTGAATATGCCCAAATGTTCCTGACTGGGAACAGCCCTGGATCAGAACCAGTAAGCAGCTACTGGAAATCATCCATTGAAGAAACTGGACTGCTGTGCAGGGCCAAGTGTGTTTATGTTACCTTGTGGGCTTTCCTTCACAGCCTCTCTAGGGATTCATGATACCAGGATGTCACTTCTACCAGCCTGTTCCTACAAATTCATAGGAGGAAGAGTTCCCCCCATGTCCCTCCCCAAAGCTGTAGGTCAAACTGGTAGCATAAACCATAATACTGGTGTTGGTAAGAGCCCGCAGTGGGCAGGGGTGGAGGTGGAGATCTGCAGACCATTGATTTCCTCCAGCAGTCTTGGAGAATCCCCGTGTTTGGCTCTGAGAGGGGTAGAAGAGAGGAATTTTCTAACAATGGCAGGCCATTGTATTCCTACTTGCCGAACTGGGAGGGAAAATTGGGATGGAAAACTGTTCTGAAGTTTCAAACCATTCTGGGGAATTGCAAGTTCAGCTTAGTTCCAGGATTATTGGCTTAATTTTTAGTTGCTTTCCATAACTGTAATCTATTTTATTTTTTATGTAGAGCATATAATTGCACATTATACACAGACTGCTTTTGAGCTTTCGCCTCTGTCTCAGAACTAACCAAGCTCTTTATTTGGGTGTTTCCATTAATCAAAGTGTTCCCATGATTTAACTTCTTATGAAAATGGTAATTTTTCTTCCTCTTGAGTTCATTGGCTCAACTCTAGTGCCAAATATGATCAAAGGTTACACTATTTGAGATCTGCTGCGTGATCTGTATGAACAAAGTAGAAAGCCTCAATCCAATTTAAACTGAACAACTGTTCACATTATGAAACTATCATTTAGTTTGAAAATAACAGGAGGAGAGGACAGTAAAAAAGAAGATAGTAAAAATATCACTTAGATAAGTAAGCAATTGAGGGACCGCATAGCGTTTCCTTGTCACTAGAGAAAAAGAGGTATTTTTAGTAAGCTCTTGTTCCTTTTAATACTGCAAAACTGATGCAACTCTGAGAAGGCAAACTGGCTTCCAGGGGATGTCCCACGACGTCAGCCCACTGATAGTGTCTGTGGTGTCACTGGGGTTTGGGGCCATGAGGTTGTCAGGGACTTCCGTATCACTGCAGAAATTACAAGACCAAGTTAGATAGGTAATATTTATATAGCGTATTTTTCATATATATAAACTTATATTTTAATATTAGTAAATTGTTAAAAATTTGCTTTCCTTGATGATAAACTCCCGTTGATTATATTATCTGAGTAAATTGAGCAAAAATTGTATGTGAATACAGGACCTCATCCATGAACACACGTTCACCCAACCGTTATGTCTCCATGCATTAATTAATATTTGCAACACGTTTTTAAACCAGAAAAGCTTGTCAAAGCTGAAAATAGCGATTGGGGGGGCATTTTATCAAACCTCTGTGGTGGTGGAGTGCCACCTAATGATGTTCTTCCTCACAACGCCGTGGTGTGTAAGGAAACCCATTTCAACACCCTCCCCTCTCGGGCTTTCCCTTATCGATCCTTATCGTTACCTTCCAGTGTCCACAAGGTTCATTTCACACTTCCCAGAAGAGATGTCCAGCCATGGTCCCCGCCCCAAATCGCTGACATCCTCCTGGGTGACGTTATGCTGAGATTTTACTCTATTTATTTATATCTCTGCAGTAGCCCATAAATCCTTACACTCAGGAAGCGACGGCTTATCATTTTGATGCCACTACAGTTTAAAACATGCATTAAATTAACTGCCTGAGAGTTGGGACCTCAAATAAATCAGCGAGCAAATGTTTCTTCTCTAGTAACCCTTTCTGCACACACACAAACACACTCCACTGATGCCAACCTCTCTGTTGAAACAGGTGATTCTGCTTATTTACCATAGACGTATTTTGTCTCAAACAAAGTCCGATATTCAAGGAAATAAATAACAATCTTTTCAACAAACTGTAATTTTCTGGGTCTGCCTTGTCCTTGCTGTTAATGGAGATTAATTTATTTTTATTTAAGGTGACTTATTTATTTTTTTCTTCCTCTGTAAAAAACTTTGTGGGAGTTTTTTACTCTGACTAGCAGAAAAGTTTTCCCAGAGTTGGGAACAGAGGCTCAGCTTAAAAGGGAGTGTTAAGAAGTGATCCGACTTCCAGAGCTCCATCCTATCTAGAGGTTCACTCCATAACATGACCACGTC